AAGGCAATGACATTGAATTTTGCGGTTTTTATCCCTTCGTGAGTTCTAGATGCAATTTTAGAAAAGTGTTGGTTGAAGAGATTTGCCCCTTTTACCGAATTCTTTGCTTCTCTTTCAAAACATTCTCTACTAAGTAACGAGATGATGTGGTCGTATTGTTTACGATGTTCCACATTGCTTTAGTTTTTTTACTAGCTTTCAAAATATCCTGATTATTTTTCATTATTTTGGCCTGAACTACTACTTTCCTTAAAATTACTTTGTATTCTTGGAAGTAGACATGGAAATCGTTGGTATGGTATACGTTATTATGTTTAGAAATAAAGTAAAGCGTACATTTGTTTTTACAGATGTACTAATTCCTTGTGTGATCCAAATATTATTTTTTTCATGAAATATTTGTCTTTTTGAGAGGAAAGCATACGTTAAAGTGAAATGAAAACTTTGAGAAAAATTGACTATATTATTCGTGTCAACAGCGTTATAACTGTGTCCCATGATTCCTTCAGCAAGTAGTCTGTAAATAATTCTATGTTAACGTTAGAGAATGTTCTGCTGATGTGTATATTATTTGTGTCAGTGTTCATATTATTAGTAATTGTAAGAATTTGCGCTTCGTGGCCACCGTAATCTAGATTGGTAGTTGTTCATTATAATTTGATATGTTGCTTTCTGTGATGTAAATGTTTACCGTGTAGGTACATTCACTGTAATATATAAATTAAAAGAATGCAGTAAATTGAGAAACTGAAATTGAGAAACTGTTTTTTGGTGAGATGCGCTCAGAAAATCAATTGAAATCTTCACATATAACAATGGATTTCAATGATAGATAACTAATTTTGTTCAGTTACCTAGATATTTTGTAAGAAAATGAAATTATCTAAAGCTCGCTTTGTTGGAAGTCTGTAAATTTATGTAAGATAGTTTTGAGCGTAGTAGCGTAGTTCAACTTATTTCAAAAACTTTTTAAAATGCATATAAATTGAATTCTGACAAGAAGATGTAATCAATATAATTTCTTACGTAAATGCACGAACCTCCGTAAACAGACCCCTTATTTGATTCCCTCGCTCTACAATACGACCCTGCAAGGTAAAAACTACGAATTAAATTAATAATTATCTTTGTTAACACATCTGTCCCGGCGCGGCATATAGAAATATTAATTTCCCGTCCAGTTGGGCGCTCCATGGTTACAGCAGTGGATTATGGGACCAGAATATGAATTTCGCGCGTCCCACTTGGTGCCACCCTGCCTCAAGCAATTGATGAGTTCGAGGGCCGCACCGCCAGAGGGCCAATAAGGACCGTTTCCTGGCACCCTCCTCCTCCGCCGCCGCCGCCACCGCTCCTTCTACCCGGGTCGGTAGTGGTTGTCGGCACCTGTCAGTTGGCGAGTGAGTTTAAATTGCTTGACGCACGTGGCGTAAGGAGAGGTGACACTGGACCTAACCATGGTGAAAATCCCCACGAACTACCCATCACTAAAGTGGGCTAGCATAACGCTTTAAGGCGAGATGCTGAGGGATTATTTTGTTACTTTATGTTTTGTACATAGTTCTACGCATCCACTGCCAATGTGATGTGGTAGTGACGCTTTCACTGATAATGAATAGCTAAGTTTTTGTGTGTCTCAAAGCAAGTGTTTAACTTGATTTTCAATGTGTTCTCAAATCTTTCGAGCTGTTTTTATTATTTTTTGTAACGTTTAGGCAGAAACTAGGGCCGTACAATAGCCGTTTGTGTAGCCAAACCAATGAAATGTTTCTCCTGTAAATAAATGTACTGTTTGATTTCGATGAAAGTAGTGTTCCTATTCCATGTGTCAAAACCTTTTCCTTTCTCAGCAAAGGTTTTGAATATTGTTACAAGTTCTCCTTTTTCTTAGCACTTTTCTAATTACTCAAAATTTAATTTTGTCATTTTTTTGCATTGAGATGACATGGTTCATTTCAACATATTTTCATGAAGAGCTCCAATTTTTTCATTGAAAGGAAAAAACCGAATAAGGTGAAAAGTGCCCCCGAACCAAATCAATAATCGCGATGCTCATATGAAAGGGAATAAAATATTCCATAGATTCCCATAAGATCAGCCTCCTAGGGCAACGTGTTGCAGAGATAGAGAAATGTGTTTGTATCTTTTATTTTTCTCAGCTTCTATTGCATTATCATGCTCTAAACTGTAGAGACGGAGATAACTGAAAATTTGAATGTGAACGTATTTTTGTCAACCAACTTTGACGCCAAATTCAAACTGGAAAAAAAAATGTTTTTACCAATATTTAAACAGATTTAATCACGGCATATGAACTCGAAGTATTGTGTTACATCATGTAACCAACTCAATCGGAATATCCCTGGGGAAAGAGATTGGTGGGCTCTCCCACATACGACTTTAGCCAATGAGCTTAAGGTAGCAGTTTCCGTCGTATTAGTGGGAACTTTAAAAGCTACGGCCAAGACTACTCCAAAGGGTAATACAGCCCCTCCGGAATACTTAATACTGTAACCATCTGAAATTAAGGGTCAAGCGCGAGAACAGTGTATTGAAACCTAATAAACATTTATATCTCCAGCATAAATTTAGTTCTTATATGTGTTTTATGAGATCATTTGTATGTTCTGTATCAGCTATGTAATTTTTGGTTTAGTTATTCTAAAGGTGTCTCGTCACTTTCAGGTTAGAGAAGCAATAGAATAGCGTAAAGATATAATAGATTTCAAAATTGTATTGAAATTACCACTTTGAGCATACGATCCAGTATAATGTATTGTGCTCTCATTAAGTAAAAGAAAATTACAGTAACACCACAATTATATAATAACTATCAAATTCTTAGCTTTCCTTCATGTAAACATCAGTTACCACTTATTTGAAGTGAAGTGCAATTCTTCTCTCGTTTCACGATGTCATAAAAATCTGTTCTGATGGACAGTTCTTTTATAAACGACTTTTCAATTGACAGAAAAGCTAATTAAACAATGTCTTGGTTAATCGAATTTCTTAAGAATGTTTTAACACGTTTCAGAGCTGAGAAATTGCGTTCAGCAGATTCAGCTGGAATTATCACAAGGTCGCAATATTTCACAGTTTCAGAGTATGTAAATAAGACCATTATCTTTAATGCATGTGAAGATCACAAACGTTATTTTTATTAATTCCTTCGAATATTAGAGAAAGTTCCGATCGCAACGCTACTGCATCGTACGTGGCTCCGTAACTTTCAATTAAAGAAGTACAGTATATGCTGCTTGAGGAAAAGGGGCCGAAGAATATCTCTGAAAGTTTTCCAATTCAAACAATTTAAGGCGCTTAAAATTACTGAATCTTGTATCCAAATGTAAAATATCAATTACTTCAATAAAATGACAGCAATAATGTTTCCGAATCATTATTTTCACGATAGCGTAAACTTTTACTTTTTGGTTGCGATATACCAGTGACATTATTAGTTTTCCCAAACTTTCACAAAATCATATCTTCTCCGACATTAATTTCTAAATATGACTTCTTTCACCACAGAAGCTGATGTTATTGGTCTTGTTCTGCAGTATATCAAACAGATGATCTGTTAAAGGAAATACTTCACAAAAAAACTTCCAACAATAATTGAAAATTTGGTCGTATCTTAATAATCCTCTTGGTTGTGTTTCGGCATCCCAGCTACTTTCGGGATGACGGGGGAATTTTACAATGACTTTCTAATACAGGATCTACTTTGATATTAAGTGAATCAAATCACGGGAATTGCCTTTATTAACAGAATCAGTAGATTCATCGTGACCTCTGAAACTAGGTTCTTGGACCCCCAGGAAACAAACTACATCAATTAATCTGAGTAGAATTACACGATTTTTCTTTTACTATTTAATTGTGCTTTTGATGGTTAATCAGTGAAGTTTCATCTAATGCAATTGACTTTATCAAAAGTCTTTAATTTCCAAATACATTGCAAGCGAACCTTTGATCCAAATAGTTTTTCAATACCGAAGAACAAACAAAGCCAGCAACATAATCGGCCGATTGTTTCAGAACCTGTAAGCTACTATACAATGCAACATTGAAATGTCGCGTGAAATTATTTGCAGTCGTTAAAAATCATAGAGATGTGTGTTGGTTTACCTTTAATAATAATTTCCTTCTTTGATGAATGATAATAATAATTTCCTTCTTTGATGAATGATAATAATAATTTCCTTCTTCTGATGAATGACAACGAAGAAAATCTGTTACTGAAGATCATACATACGCTGCAACACTGCCGACGAAGCCGAGTTCCATGCAGGCGTGGTTTCGTATGCTACGAAAGTATTGCTTCCAAACTCATTTTCAATGCGCGAACTTTTCAGTCGTTTTTCTCTGTATTTTCCTTAAAAAAACCGTCTTTTAAGGTATACTGCGTATACTAAATATTTTTTGGCAGCGTAGGAGCAACATATAAAATAACATCTTTTTTTTCTTCTCACAACCTACGAGTACATTCCACCAATTGAAAGGTCACAAACGCTATACATGTAGTCCCCTCACGTTCTTGCATAAAATTGCCGTAAGGCTCCCACAGACCAGCGCGGAAGACCCACAGCCTACGCAGAATGGCTACAGCGGAAATTTCGCGTTACGTGATGGTTTATGCGTATGTTCAGAACTGTGCTGCAGGCTAGCGTAGCGGCAGCGTTTTCTTACATGCGGATTTGGGATCGCAGTCGGGCGCGTTTCGACCGCTACCGCTCGATTTTCGTGAAAGTCTGTCAGACTTCGATCTTTGGATCGAGCTCTCCTTGCTTTTGTCTATCGGATGAAGAAATCTGTCACCAAACAGAGTCGTAATTGGCGCTCTGACTGCATGGTCCCGTGGATTCTGCCGCCGTGTCTATTATCAGTTTACTGTAGGAAAAAATCCTGTGTATGTATATATGTGTATGTTAATTTTCGTTAAGAACTTATTACTACTACAAGAGAGAACAAGAGTGGTATTAATGAATTATAACAATTATCTCCTGTAGTAATAATCATGTTTAATACAATTGAAGGGAGATATTCCTTTGATGTACATTGTTGGCAGTTAAGTATTAATATGACAAGTATATAAATATTTGGTAAACCCTGAGAAACCGTAATTTTTGGCTAATTTGCAATAAACATTGCTAGATCGACCTTTATTAATGTTGTCATTTGATTGTGATCGCATTTATTAATTTTTAATATAAGATATAGCTGACAAAATAATATCAACAAATGATCAGCACATTTAATGTGTTTTATTATATGATTTTTATAAAAACAATGTTTTGGAAACATCAACATCAATATTGCATCCCTAGAACCCAGGTCTGTATCTCACACGCCATGAATTGTTTTATGTTAATCTTAATTTTCTGCATGCTCTCTGAATGAATGTCCAAACAAAAAAAAGTTTATAATCACATTCTTTGTTTGTGTGAATCATACATTGTTACATAACTGAAACAAAGCTTCATTGAATAGATTTGATGTATTAAACTTATGTAAACTGTACATTGTTCTGATAAGCTGTAATAAATATAATACAAACATTCTATCATACATTTTTATACAATAAATATTTGAGGTAAAAAATTGTCTTTGAAAACTTAACAAATTAGCCTCTTTCACATATTATTTCAACAACACTGGGTTCCATGAGCACAGGATCCACACATCGATGAACAGCACTACCCAAAATTTCATCCAGGAGAAAATGAACCAAGCTGTAATCATCCAATATCACATGAGAATAGTTCTCTATAAAAATAAAAGAACACATTAAAAGATTTTTGTAGTAGCAGAAAATGTATTCACAGAGAATCAATAAACAATTTTATTCATATCACTCAGGAAAGAAAAATTTCCTGAGACTGAAACATTATAACGACTATAAATAGTTGGAAGCCCTATTGCGTAATTCACATTTCAGTGAAACTAGGTTTGATGTTTTTTTCTAGTTTTACATTTATTCAAAACATCAAACCTTGTTTCACTGCAATGTGAATTACTCCAATAAGTCTTCCAACAATTCATAATACATCAGGATTTCCAGGATTTAATCTTTTATTATTACAATTACTCTCACCAAAAACCTTAGAAGCTGTATTTTTGTAATGCAGAGTGTTTCACTAATAATATGTATTTAACACAAAAATAGTACAAAAAGTTTAATGTTACCCGGAGGCAAGTACAAAACAAACTCGTTTTCTTAAGAAATGTTATTTTATACTGTACTAGCAAACTACACGCCGTTGCCCGTTTTCTTTATATTACACACGCACGCAGACATATAACGCTCTCGTTATCTTCCCCCCTCTCTGTGTCTGTCTCGTTCTGTCCGACAGCCTCTGTCTCCGCCTGTCTCTCTCCCTCTGTCACTGCCACTCTTTGTTTCTCTCTCTGTACCTCTGGTTTCCGTCAGCCTCGTTCTCTGTCACTCTGTTACTTACGGGCGCCAACTCTCTGTGTATCCGTCTCTGTCACTCTGCATCCCTCAGTCGCTCTCTGTCTCTTTCACTGTCATTGGCGCGCGCCCGTCCGATTCTCCTGGGCTTTGCCCTGCGTCACGCGACAACGGTCAGCAACAATGAAGTCCGCGGGTGAAGCAGAGTTTGAATGGAAATTGGATTAAAATGAAGCAATTTTGTAATTTTGTTCTGCAACGCCACTTATTAGTGCTACAACAAAATTAACAGCACATAATCTTCTAGGTGAAAAAACACGCAGATGTGTCAACTTTCATGGAGGTCGATCACACGGTGTCGGAGTTTACCGTTCTTTAATGTACACACCCACCCACCAACCATGATATGTATCATGTGGAAGATGACATAAATCATACCATAGGAGAATGCAGTGTCGCTCGGAAGGCCTATTACCGGTCATCTCCGAATTTCAGTTAAAAATTTCAATTTGTAAGGACCGAGCTTCCACTGAGCAATCGCTTCCCCAACAGCATTTCCTAGGCCAGTGGTACGACACCTGGGTCGCGCGTCAAGAGACCACCGGCGCCGCTGAGTATAAGACAGACGCAAAAACCCTCGCACACAAAATTTTCGGCGAGGAGCGTGTAAAGTTGGGGGGTGCCACGGAAATCTGAACGCTTCTCTTTGGGGCCACGTAGCTCGTAAATACGCATAAAGTGAGTGCAGTTAGAAGTTCGACCCGGACTCTAGTACTTGTCAGTAAGCGCGATTGCCCTATTAACCGTACGTGTGAGGCATGTTATCACCTCGCTTGGCCGCGATTGCCATCGCTCCTGCCTGTGTGCGATGGACGCGCCAAAGGCGAGGGATCTGTCGGCCAGTGTACCCTGTAGAGCAGTCGTCTTCAATCTGGGTTCCGCGGAACCCTAGGGTTCCCTGGAACGTTGATACGGGGTTCCGCAACTGATTACTATTTGCTCACGCAAAATACAAAATGTTATACAACGGATTTTTCGTGTAGGAATGGGCTAGTGGACTGTCTTATAAAAATATTAGATTAATATAATATATAAGTACAAATTACAATATTAATATAAAATGGATATGAAAAGGTAGTTGATTGTACAAATATTTACGATTGATCGAACAATTAATAAAAAACAACCAAATCACCTTTTTTCAGATATAAATTTATATGAATTTTGTTCACACCTGCTAATGCGTTGAACTACGTTAGCATGTGAAAGGACAGATTTCAGAATAGGCTATATGAGAAATAAACATTTTTAAAGAATTCAAAAATTTTGAAATGTGATTGTCTGAAAAGAAGACAAAAAAGGATACCCAAGTGTTAAATAATGATATTATATGACAATCACTCAATTGTATATTTTTGACTAAGTAATTTTGCGAATTTAATTGTTTAGTGATTCCGGGCGTGCGAACTGTTAAGGTCATTAGTCCCATAAGTATAATGCATATACTATCGCAACCAGCTGAATGCGTGAATTTGACGTGCGGCGTACAAGATGGAGAAAAACGAATTTCGTGCTGTGATTAAACATTTTTATTTGAAGAGCTGGACAGCATTGAAGATCAAAAATGAATTAGATGAAGTACACGTAAACTTTGCACCAGCATTGAAGACAATTTACTTCTGGATGAGTTCAAACGTGGTCGCAGAAGCCCAGAAGATAAAGTGCGCTCTGGCCGGCCAGTTGAGGTCACCACATCGCAAACCGTGGAAAAAGTGCAGGATCTGGTAATGGAAGATCGCAGACTGAAAGTGCGTGAGATTGCTGATGCTGTTGGCATCTCTACTGAAAGAGTGCACTTCATTTTGCATGAAAAATATGTGCGTGAGATGGATGCCTCGATTACTCTCTTTGAATCAAAAAGGGCATCGAAAGAACATTTCAAAACAAAATCTGACAATGACGTCAAAGTGCACTGAAGAAGGCGAAGACAGTTTTGTCGACAGGAAAGGTGATAGCAAAAGTTTTTTGGGATTATCAGGGTGTAATCCTTATCAGGGGATTATCCTTATAGATGATTAGGAAAAGGGCAGAACCATAACCGGGTGCTATTACGCTTCATTATCGGATAGCTGAAAACAGAAATTAGTCAAAAAACGGCCAAAGGTCGCGCAAGAAAGTGCTGTTCCACCAAGACAACGATCCATCCCACACAGCAGCAGTCACAATGGCAAAGGTGCATCAGTTAGGATTCGAACTGGTTCCTCGTCCACCATATTCAGAGGATTTAGCTCCGAGTGATTCTTTTTCTATTCTCCAATTTGAAAATTTTGCTTGACGGGCAAAATTTTTCATCAAATGAAGTGATGGCTGCAGTAAAGTTGTATTTCGCGGTTTGACATTTCCTATTTTGAAATAAATATGTGTGTCGTCATTGCCAACAATATAATATTGTTGGCAATGACGACACATATAATTATTTCGTTAGAAACGCTAACGATAACTCACCACAACACCTAAATTCCTATTTTTCCATTGGGATAAAAAAATTTGGAAACACGCTGGGCAAAGTGTATACATTGAGGAGACATTGACAAATAAAGTAAGTGTTTTTCTCAAACAATTTTTTTCTTTAATTTTTACCAAACTTATCAAACAGCCCTCGTACTCCAGTATTCGCCGGGCATTGATCGGAGAAACAACGGAAAACTACCGATCAGAGCAGTTGGCCACCACAATTCTCCTCCAGATTGCGAATTTTAGTTGAGAAGAGCTTTAATAAACCATTTTATCTGCTAATTAAGGATGCGTTTCCTTCAATAAGTCTATGAGCTCGAAGGGTTCCCAAAGCTGTAAAATGTCGAAGACACCTGCTGTACAGGAATGCCCTCGGCGGCGGCGGCGGCGGAAGCCGCCGGCGCCCCATCATTCAGTACCCACCTGGGTGCCTGGCCTACTCTTGGGCCCCTAGACAGTGAATGCCGCCCGGTGAAGCCAGAGACGACGACGCTCGAGCGATTTTGAAAACTAGTATTAACATAGTTTTTAATTTCCCCTCCATCACCACCCACAATGTTTATTTCACCACCCACCATCCTACAATCCCATCTAACTTTTAAGTTTTGATTGATAAAAACCAATTCTATTGTCATAGTAATTGGTGGTTCTAGGTAATGTATTGAAGTTGTCATTATTGCTGTAGTTAATAGAAGATGCATCCACCCAGAAGCTGGTAGAGTTTGTCGTTGTAATCTGAGGGCTGGAGTTTTTCTTTGTAATCTGGATAAAGGCTGAGTTCATTTTCAGTTCAGAGCCAGCAATGCAGCTCAGCAGTGACTTTAACTGGAAACTGCTAAGGTTCGAGTCCAAATGGTGGTGAATTTTCAACACTAGCTAGTTGGCTAGGTTGAAATCAGTCGCTGTCTGAGGCAGAATTTTAGCAGCCAACTGCTCCGATTGGTAGTTTTCGATGGTTTCTCTGATCACTATGAGGCAAATGGCAGAGCAGAAATGTAACTAACACACCATGGACCATGTGAGGTCTTTCGTTCCTCTTCCTTGACCTATCCATTCCCTTTACAAGAGCACGCACACCCACTCACCCCCACCCACTAAAAAGGACTATTACTTATAAAATACTTTAATTATTTAAAATATATTATTTTTTCTATTTAATTATACAATTAACTTAATTTCTTAAACTAATCATAAAATAACAATTACAACTTACTTTTCATCAGCTACAAATCTCCATAAATACAACTGAAGATAATGGGTGTCAACTTGTATTTGCTGTAGTCCATAACAGCTGAATGTTCGCAAACGAACACACTCTAAAAATGTCTGAATTGTAAGAGAAAACATATTAGTTTGAACAACAGAATATACAATTCAAGACATAAAATTAGAATGTTTTAATCCACAAAAATAGACACACACAGAACCAATGAATGAGAAAACAATGGAAAGCAAAACACAAAATGAGCAGAGAAAAAAAACAGAAAGTTAAGATAGGAAATTAAGAATGCAAATAATATACTCCAGTTACACCAAAAGTGGACAGAAACAATTTGAAATATTTTTATCAAATATAGGAAAATCTTACTGTTTGCAGACGATACCAAAATTACTGATTTTAATGACGCCTACCACTTACAGGAGGGTCTCTCTGCATTTTCGCAGTGGTGTTCTACAAACAAAATGGCACTCCACACTGATAAGTGTTGTGCAATGACCTTTGCCAGGAGACATAATGTCATGAGCTACCCCTATTCTTTAAATGGTGAATCCCTGAGCCCCATCTCTAACATCAGGGGTCTCAAGAGTGATTTTCGACCCCGAACTTGATTTTAATCCACATTACTGTCACAGTGAATAAAGCTCTGTGTTCCCTAGGTCTGATTTTTGCGCAGCACCAATCCTTCAGGTTCACTGATAACTTTTTAACTCTTTATAAAACTTTGATTCATCTTATTTTAGGATATGCCTCTGCTATTTGGTCACCTTACTCCAATTTATCTATCAATAATTTGGAAAAAGTACAATGTAAATTTTAACGCCACCTAGCTTTCAGAAATGGGACACCAATTCATATATTTGGTCATGACCTTTCCAAATTCTAAAATTTATATAAATTGGCAACTTTTCAGGTTAGGAGAAAATTCTAAGATTTAATTTTCTTCCATTAAATACTACATGGTCTCATCTTCTGTTCTGAACTTCTTTCTCTAATCTTTCTTATCTTCCCTCAGATTACAACGAAAAACCCTACCAGCTACTGGGTGGATGCATCTTCTCTTAACTACAGTAATAATGACATCTTCAATACACTACCTAGAACCACCAATTACTATGACAATAGAATTGGTTTTTATCAATCAAAACTTCAAAAAAAATTTGTAGTTGTTTTAAACTACTTTTTCAGTCCTGACTTTAAGTGATTTGAAAGACATTTTAAAATTGTTCTTTAAAAAGTCTTAATTTTTAATATTATTTTTAAATTTACAACACTTTTATCCTTTTTATGACTATGACTATTTTAATTTTTGTTATTTTGATATATTGAACTTGAATGTTTCTGACATTATGTGTGTAGTTTTCTTATTATAAATGATTTGCGTCATTTATTTAAATAAATACATTTTTTTAGGGAGACGCACACAAAGATAGAAAGAGAGAGAGAGAGAGAGAGATAGCTTGATTGATTGTTAGTGATCCTGGGTACAATTACTAGGGTCATTAGTCCTGTAAATTTAGTGCATATTTTTGCTCGGGATTTGGCAGTTGTCTCCCCCTCCCCAGTAAAGCAAGATCTGGCGCCGACCTACAGTTTACCGACCTAACAGGGTTTTCCCCAACTAAGTGTCTCCTACCAGCAGGACCCCGCCCCAGCTGGGATAAGGGATAAGATCTAAGCTCCCATCTGGTCTACTGGCACATATGGCAGTGTAGAGCATGCTCATGGAAGTGTGTGTAAGGGAGTGAAGATAGGACAAAGAAGAGGTAGGAGAGATCGCACATGGGTATAGGATTTGTTTGGATACTACTCCAGCATTCACCTGGAGTTTGTCACAGAAACCATGGAAAATTACTGATCAGAGCAGGTGGCCACTAGAATGAGAAAGAGAGGAAAGAGCATTATTTTTTTCTTCAGTATTTTTAACTGTCAACACAGAGAGATCCTTGTTTTCATTTAATGCTGATTATCAACAATTCCTTTTCTCCCACTGTAGTTGCTTCGAAACAGAGTTTTTGTGTTGATTCGTGAAGTATTATAGGTTCAAAAGAGGATAGTAATGAGTCCGAGGCTGGTGAGATCTTGTAATGTGGTGTCAGCTTGTGACGTTTTCTGTGACCCCCCTCCAAGCAAATGCACACACACTGACAGATGGACACAGACGGACGAATGGATGGATAATTTTTACTACATCTTGGGGAGAAAATAATTGAAGAAAGGAATTTTATAAAAATGAGAGACAATAACAACAGGCATAGATCAGAAAAGGGATAAAACTTACATTAGGAAGTATATTTTAACATTCTAATTTCCCTTTATCCTTTCAGCAGTTGCTCTCAATAAATATTTTAAAAACTAAACAAGCTAAACATACTCACTTTCAAACTTATTTTAATGATACCAGTGAGAATTGACACTTTGGAAAACTCCACAGATGAGAAAATTTCTATTCGTTCAGAGAACAATTTTTGTATATTGGTGACCAGACTGGAATCCAAGTGACTAGGGCCATAAGATGACCAATTTGACCGGTAGGCATGTCTGGATACTGTGATACTAAAACAAGCAAAATAGAGTTGGCATCTTCTGTCCTGTTAATTCAAAGAACAAGAAATTTTTGTATTACAAATTTATCCAACCTCTGTGTTCGTCGACTAGAATCAGAACTTCTTTCTGCACGCTGTCCCTCTTCATATAAGGCTCCGACTTGGCTATCAACAGCAGCAATATCTTCCACAACACGTTTCATTACTGCTCGCACTGTGCGAGGTTCTATGGTATGCAACCAATCACGAGTTTCCACAGACTTGCGTAGCATCTGTAAACTTAGTCTCATGAAATATATAATCACAAAATGCAATCCTTCAACTACAGTACTTCTACACTTCTCATATCTTTGATTCAGCAATTAATAGTTGTAATAATGAGTGCATTCACAATTTGTATATTTTATTAAAAACTCTATACAATACATTAAAAATAATGGTGAAAGGGTTTATATTTTATATATATAAATAAATAAATATAAATATATATATATATATATATAATATAATGAAATATCTTCAGGTGCGAGAAAGTTTGAACCCTTGACACAATAAAAATCACAGATTGCACAGAAACGAGCGTATAATTTACCCATAAACTTTTAGTGGCATAAGTTCATGAAAAGCCAAGAATATAGAATCACACTTTTACAAAGAATGATCAAAACACAAATAGAAACCTTTACAACACACATCATATGAATGAACACTACAAATTTATTCAAATTTGATACTCTGAAAGAATTACCCTAATCTACACTGGGTAATTCCCTTGGAAATTAATTGTAGCTAAATTTATGCTATTCTTTAACTTGCACATGAAACCAAAAATTCAATTTACACTCTCCTGCTTCAAAACATTACATGCAAAGAAGAATGTGTGCAAGTTGCACTACTCTCATTACAATTTAACTGTGTCTGAGAATGGCAGAATAATAAATGTCCTAAGTAGTTTTTATGCAGGATAGCGCATCAAAATGTCTCTACTATAATACTGCAATTCGTTGCCACCGTGTCCTCAATTTTTAACATTTTCCTATACTAGTTTTTCCCTGCCGACGTGAACTTGACCTATTTTCCGCGATTAACCGTTACCTCGTGGACTTCCCACTTTTGGCCTTGATGGTCGTGCGCTGGTCTCTGCGTCGACGTCGCTCGTCCCAGCTGTTCTGTCTTCTTCCTCGTGCGCCCTGGTCCGTCCGTTATCTTCCACCTCGTGTGCTACCAGCGCTCTGACTAGCCACGTTGCGAAAATGTCCCTTGCACTTTACCGAATACTCGTGCAAGTTCCTCGCTCGTTGCTACTTTTACTTTGCTAAGCCAGAACTTTTAATGTTTCTTTCACAACGGTAACTTTTATTCCCGTGTTGTTAATTGAAGGAATACTTTACTGAATCTACACTATTTCGCGGACGACTAACTAGAACGTCTGTTCGACTCCGTATACTCCTACCTAAGTAGTCATTGCAGGGCAAACAATATCTAAGCTAATTTTAACGAAAGTTTTGCTCGGCGAGCGATGATCAAAATGCTACTAGCTCGGCGATCGGTGGTAAAAGAGCTTCCGCTTGCGGGTTCGTGTATTTATCGCGCGGCGCTGAGGAAATTCTCAGTGGTGGGCTGCTTCCCCTCCTTAACCTTCACAGGAAAACGTTGCTTGCAAGTTCGCTTCGTTTAGTAAGCAACGGATACTAGGCGCGCGTTTAAGTACCTCTGCCTTAAACGCCCTTGTTAAATCTTCCCCCCCCGGGCCCCCCCACCGGTTTAGTGTTCACACATATGAGACGGTGGTGTTATGGGGTTGCACAATCCGATAACGCCACAATATATATTATTTTTTAAATATTAAAAAATTAAAGAATATATAAAAATTCCAACAGCTATTGCAGTATTAACGGCATAACAGGTCATTAAATATTTGCTATTTATGTATTGTATTCTTTATCGAATAGCAACTTTTTTATATTCTTCCCATGAAAAGAACCTGCTATACTTTGTAAACTACTCTATTATTGCATTGTTCATGAAGACTTTTTGTTACAATATTTAATTTGCTGCAGTGATACAAGGGAGAATTTTGTCATTTTTAAGCAGTGTGCATATTACTTTTTAGGAAACCATTTTGTCATCTTGTTCAGAAGCATTTTTCTTCAAGCCATTGGTACAATACTAATTTTCTCATTTTAAAATCATCAATGGATAAACAAGTTCCTTAGTTCTACTACAAAGAATATTGAAGTATATATGAATGCATGCATACCGACTCAGGATCTGTAATGTAAATGGATTAAATATCTAATTTTTATTAATTAATAATTCACAAAAAATGAGAGAAGGGAATTCCCTTAGCAACAGTTTATATCTTACCTGAGAAACACTCAAACCCTGCATGCAGACATAGTGGTTGAGAAGTTCTTGGGCAGCTGCCAACATATTTGATCTCAACTCGGATGCATGTGTTAAACCACTTGCAGCACTAGATTCTTCTATGTTAAACCACTCATCAGTTATACTCAACTAAAAGGATAATAGAAGGTAATGTTTGTAGTTTTATTTCTAATACCAATTGCAATTTAAATCCAATACTGAAAGTTACAAACATTATTTTATAACTTATTTCATACCAAGTAATGAACATTGGAAGATTCAAATTCCAAACACATTTTGGAAAGCAGAAGCAAAAGTGCAGGAGGAGCTTTGACATCCCCTGAACCACAAAATCCTCGAGCCACTGCAGTTAAATGGTGCAGAAAGCCTACAACAAGATGTTCACGCACACTTTCAACACAGAATACTTCTTGAAAATGAGGTTTCAGGACAAATGTAAGGTCAGGCTGAGCGAAAACCTGGAAGCAGACAATTGAAATTGAAATATTTGCATTCACACTTCACTTATAAGAAACACATTTGCTTTTCAAACCTACCAAAAGATCTTGCAACACCCCTTTCACCTTTTCCACTGTTGATATAACCAACGAGGAAAGAAGTTCAAATAAACTGCTGGAATTATCACCATCTTGGCTTACTAATTTTGGAGCAGCTAAACTCTGTCTAACACATGTGAGAGTATCACTGAAGTGTGTTTTAAGGGCCTGAAGATGAGATCTACACTGCCTGTATCCAGCTTTAAGTACAATATCAGTACCAGTTCTGTAATAGAAAACATTGTTCCTCAAAATCAATTTGATTTAATCTAAATAAGGCATTTTCAAATATTTTTTAAAGTACATTTATTTAAATAATGCACAAACCTTGCAAAGTCTGTGTCAGAAAATAGGGTCTTCATAGCTTGTAACCGCCGATGGAACCGATCTAAAGCTCTCACCAGTACAACAGTATCACCTATATCTTGCTCTTTTTCAACTCTACAACTTACAATATTAAAATACCTTTCCATGTTATGAAGCACAAAATTTCCCAATTGAGAAACAGCAACAGAATCAAGATCACTGAAAAGAAATTATACAAAAAAAATTTACTAAAATGAAAGTAGGATTGCTACAAAAAACGATAAGCAAACAACCTTTCAGTGTCAAGATGGTATGGCCTATTAATGAACATATCATTATATGAAGCCACAATCAAGCAAAGATTTCCTAGAACACCAGAGCTTCCTAAGTCCACAAACTCTATTATATCCTGAAACAATCAATAAATATACATGTATCTGCTTACACACAAAACACATTAGTTGTCATAAAATGTGGAAACTAGAATGTTTATGACAAAACAACTTGCATACCTGATTTTCCGATTGCTCTAGAAGGGTCAGTTGTTCAGCAAGACGAGAGTTAGCATGAGATAAGAAATCAGCACATAAAGAGTCTGCTGGTTCTTTTAACTGTAATAACAAGTCAACTGATTCGGTCAGTTCTTTTGCCGAAGCCTGAAATAAAATAAAACTTAATTTTTAAATGTATTTTAACACATGATTCATCACAAAAAACAGATGTCTTATGTACAAACATTTTTCAAAGCTATGAATCAATTTGAAGATTACATCAATAAAACAAAGTCAAATTCATTTTTTTTGGCTTCTTTGTAGGGAAAAGCAGGTAGACATTATTTACTTCCTAAAACATCGGTGAGACACACAGTTTGGTAGAGGGTGATCAAGAAACTAAAGCTCCTCCTGAACCACAAATTAAACCGCATTCACCTTCAAGCCAGCCATCATTAGCCAAAATCCTTAACTAAACTCTGTGAAGTCAAGGATGTTAACCATCTTGAGACCCCATGGTCACCCCATTCCTGGGTGATTGTCAGTTAACCCCTGATACTAACAGTGCCAAACCCCTGGCTGAAGAGATAAAAGGCATTCACTAACTGCAACTTTATGACACAAGTGACAAAATTTATTGGAGGATAGCCAATAATCCAATGTACGCAATCCAATGTACATACCATTGTGCCCAAAAGGGCTAAGAGACATGTTGCACAAAAAGCTCAATAAATTTAAAAAAAATGCTTTGTGAAGAAAAGACAACAGTTGCAACAATTGCATTTTTGCTAGGGTATTGAGCAACATGCAGTGAAGAAATCTTAAAATTTCAATGAGTTTGTCATTTGGTAGGTACATTATTATTGATGTGACCACAAAATCTTCACAAGAATTTAGCTTTCAAGAATTTATATTTTCACACAATAACAAAAATCTGTTTTCATTATGGCTTATTTTCAGCTAAGGGCAGCATTTTCCAGACTTGATTGTGTAAATTCTACTCATTAAGAAATAAGTTGTCTGACGTTCATTTTCTCAGAGCCTATGTGGCATTTGCACTTCATTTGATGAAATCTGATGCCAAACTAGCAATTCTACGTCTTCCTAAGTAATTTTGCCCACTTAGCAGTGATTGACAAAACCTAATAAACATGTGTATATTGGCCATGAATTGGGTGAGCTAACTGAATACTGTGGAAAACAAAGAAAGATTTTCAGTTATATTATCAACTAAGACTAAGCAATGTCTGAGTGATTGAAGAAGAAGCAAAGCTGTTGACACAACAATCCGTGGAAAAGTAACAATGTAGTTTATGGATTGTGTCCAGATTTTGCAGTAAATTGAGTACAGTGTATGTTTAATGTTCATACATATTACTGAATTATTGTTGTTGAACAACAATAATGGTAATAGTAAAATTGGAATGTACTCAACACCAACATTGTTTGGTCCTTCATATTGTTCATACCTGCTTGTGTCTCATGGGTTCTCATGAGTTTGAAATTGTAAATATGGTGCATAATTTCATTCTCATGTATATGGCAGATGCAAACCTTAAGTAAATCAATTTTACATTTACATTTTGAAATACCAAAAATAAATTACATTAAGCGTTTTCACATTTTGTTGAGAAATCAACAGCTCTCTACTCCATGAATCACTTAACCAAGATAATCGCAGAGATAATTTTTTTATGAAGTTCTACATTAAACAGTCCCTGTCATATTCTTGAATGTTCTTAAATAACAAAAGTTTATTTAATGAGTGATCTCCGAAAGAATGCTAAACATGTTACTACACATACACAAGTAACTTCTTTTAAATCATACACTCAAATACAAACATGATTATCCCCAATCTGGCTGCAAACATATTTGAATGAGCATCTTCAATTAAAATGTTTGAATGTTTTTCCCCCCACGCTATTACAAAACTACTACAAAGCTTTCAAGCTCAGCAAACATTTTTGAACAGAAGGGAACATAACTATTTTTGCAAAATATTTAAAAAACTAAATGAAAACAAAGGAACAATTTAAAATTTTACATTCTTTAGCACAAATTCTATTGTCACTTGGTTTGGCAATAGGTTTGCAAACTGAACATTTGGATCACAAAAAATCTAGGACATGGTTAGAATAATTGGAAAAGCAGCATCATCCCTTGAGTAGTCGTTCCAACAAATTTTCAAACAGCCCAAAAAACTCTTTGGCAGTGATTTTAACCATCATTAACTATCACTATCCGCAAGACAGACAATACTGACCTCTTTGCTTCTGAACTGATCTCTAAGCTTCTTCTTTAACTCTTCCACTATTGCTTCACAGTCACTCTGTATACCTTGAAATGAAGTCATGTTACCATACTGCTGAAAAACTCTCTGGGCATGAATGTAATCTTGAACCGCCTAGACCAAAAAACAGTCAATTTATTTCTATGCAGAACATTCAAAGAAATGTATTGATTTCAGAAAAAGATAAACCTGTGAAAATTCTTCTTCTTGTATTCGTGTCTTCAACTGAGTAGGTAATTTGAATAAAAACTGTAATCGTTTCAACATAGAATGGACTCCAGAAAGCTCAGATATCTGTTGTCTTGTATCCTAAAAGAAAAATTTACATCACATTACCATTATTTCTCAAATGTCAAAGGTTACTTCACTTGTAAGCTTACTTGAAGAGTACATGAAATCTGTTCTGAAAATGAAGTAATTGACTCCATGTTTTTGGCTAACAAATCCATTTCATCTTCCATCTTCTTGAAATCACTTTTCATCTGAAGGAAAAAAAAGGGAAAAAATTAATTAACAGAAAATCCTAATACTTAGTATGTTATGGTAGATATTCATTGATAGTACATTTTTCCACATGACCAAACTTTTTGCTCAAATAACATGTGGAAGAAAGATTAGAATTCGTTTACGCTCTCAGAATTCTTTTAAACTCAAATACTATTTTTACTGTGACAAGTACAAAACAATAAAATGATTTTTTTAGTATGTTCTATAATTGCAATTTAAGGCATTCTGAATAATTCTTCAATAAAGTTGGTCTCAGAATTTTAATTTTACAGAGTTCCCACATGAGAACTGCGGGACTAAACGGGTGGGTGAAAAATAAAAAAATGATGTTTTAATGATCACATAAATCTAAGAATTACACAAAAACATTTTCTATTCAGACTAGATTTTGTTGATTGCACTCTTTTGTAGAAACTCATAAATACTCACTTTCCGCACTGTATCTGTGGCAGAAATAAATTTATTATAATTTTCATAAACTAATGTTTGCATATCAGAATGAAGAGCCTGTGTGTCCTGCACTACTTCACTTTCTTGGTCCATAATTTGTTGCAAAGTACATTCCTGGAGACAGACACACCTCGTTAATAAAAAGCAATAGCTCTACATCACACATCTTATGCTGCTATTCCACGTCAGTTAAGTTAAGTTGTCGTTTAAGTACCTTTAAAAGCTTTTGTAAATACATGTCTGGGTTAAAATGTTGCCCATTAATATCGTACGGATTACCCGTCATTTCAGCCATTCCTGCAAAAATGTTGTAATCAAAATAATTGATTGATCTACTTCCGAGAGAGTTCTTCAAATCAGGGTTGAAGTGAGGAATGAGGATTGAGAATACTTCAGATTCACATTCGACTGTCAGTGTCGATGTCGCTTTCTGTCATTGCACCACTCCATGCTTCGACTTCCGACTTGAGTCGTTGTCAGGGCCAGGTCAGGGCCCTATAACTCCCATATAACGTGGTGGAGACCATTACGGTGGCGCGCTCTGCTGCATCACCTTCTTTACATGAACTAAAACACGAACTGTTGCCAACGATACTTTAAACGTTCGTGGCTACTGCGTGAGTTCGCGGGTCGCAAGCAGGCCCATAATGTTGCAAAAGATCACGTATATGTTCGCGCATTCTTCAGAGGTTTCTTATAAGTATAGATTTTGAATAATAGTACATTTATAAGACACTTTTCGTATTTCTCACAAATTAGCAAATTTGTATGTGGGAAAGTTGACGAGCCTAACCTGCAGCTGCACCCGGCGACACTAGCGCTTCCTATAGTAGCAACCTCCAGCTTTGTCCCCAGTTTTAGTGGGGAGTTGCCGGGCCCTGGTCGTTGTTCTAAGCTCACCCAGCTTAAAACGGCATTGGACAAAGTTTTGCAAGTCAACTATTCAGCAGCGATGGTAGCGCCCCTAAGTACTGACTGAACAAAGAGCAGAGATTTGCGCGGTCTTTTAAAATAGTTCGTAATACAAACGACATATTTTACCTGATGATGGACTCCGGCTATTATGAACAGATTCGGTTAAAATGCAGTTTGTATAACTCGCGCCACGGTGTAAGATATCTTGCACCCATTGAGGAAATATATATTTGTACCGTGTTCCCGCGCGGAACCAGAAATCTGACAGAACGGATCAAATAGTTTTTAAGGTGAGTATGCGTTGGACAGACTTAAAGATATTTTATGTTAACACGGGGGCCGAAGGCGCGAGCCTCGTCTTCAACTTGGATACGCGTAGCGAAGCGTCACAATTTTACAGAAAAGTGTGTTGGCCTCGCCCGCCACCTAACACTGTGGCCGCGCCGTGAGTCAGTATCGGATACGAGTACGATAGCGCGCGGCAACAAATCATACCGCAAACTGTATTTCTACAAGAGATTTTCCCTCATGCTCTGGACCTGGAAACAAGTATACTTGAGTTTTTATTTTTGGCGCGAAATGCCACGAGATATTCCATTTATGATAACAGGCCCTCTTGCGCGAAGAAATAAAAACACAAGTTTAGAACCTATGGAACTCCAGTTACTGCGTGAAATATTAAAACAACGCAACGAGTAATTATTAGTGTGATGTATATAAACTAAACTACAATACAAACATTCTGAAGAGTCTGGGTCTCAATATGTGCATCTTATCTTCATCGCCCTCCAAATTACGGTTTGACTCACGATGTCGCGACCGGAGAGTGAATGCGAAGGACGAGTTATAATTACCGATAATCACTAAATTCTTGTAGACTTCGTGGTTGTAATACTCATGGTGGAAATACTTGGGTGAGTTCATAGACAAAGAGTGGGTACCCTGAGGGAGAGTCACCTGTAGCTTTGTAGCGCAGTTCCGTGTGGCCGCGGTGTGCAATGCCGCCACACTTCCCTGCTATGAAGCCATTCCTATCCTTTCGGACATCTATGGCTGATCTGTAAAATAGAAAAAAGAACAAGGTCAGGTAAGACAATTGCCGTTCGGCGCGCCTTTGGCATTGTTTACCCCTATTTTTATGCAAATATTGGCGTTTCGCCCACTGTAGCATATCTCTCGGTGGGTGAAACATTAAAGCGGAGTAATTAAGATCAGAACGGAAACATTTGTAATCAAAATTGACGCTATTCAGACAGATGAAAATTGGCACGCCTTAAGGGAAGCAGTATCAAAGGTTAAAGATACGGTGAGCAAACTAAAAAAACGCACATAAGTTGAAATGAGAATACTAATGAAGATGGGCAGCCAATTTAGAACAGACCGAAACGTTTAGCCTGCGCGGGGAAGACCAGAGTAAATGAACAGGTAAAACCGTGGCTTGAAGATGGTATCATAGAAACAAGTGTGTTCGAATAAGCTAGTCACGTTGTAGTGGCCAAGAAGGCGGATCACCGAGTTTACATTGACAACACGCGATTGAAGAAAAATATTGTGAGATCGAGTTCCATTAAAGGAAGACGTTCTCGACGAACTTTGTGATGCCCGACTATTCAGTACTTTGGATCTGAAGAACGTTTTCTTCCTGTCAGTATTCACCCAGAAAGTAGGAAGTAGACAACTTTTGTGACGCACGCAGGGCATTTTCATTTTTGAAGGTACAATTAAGACTTTGCAACTCCCCCGCGGTATTTCAAAGATTTATTAAGTGTTTTGGAAACATTTAAGATAACATCGTTTTTGTATACATGAATGATTTGGTGATCCCTGGGCGTGATAAAATAGAACATTTACACAGACTTCAACTTGTTCTGAAAAAACAAACAAACAACAATTGCAACTGAAGTTTACGAAGTGTCAGCTTCTAACGGAAAGACTGAGTTCTTGGGACATACGATTGAAAATAGATAAGTTTTCCCCTTATCTGAGATTGCCGCTGTTAAACAGAACCGAAATTTTCAGCAGATGCTCAACGTTTCCTGGGACTAATTGAATATTTCAGGAAATTCGTGCGCGATTATGCCACGATCGCTAGGTCTTTAGTGATTTGTTGAAGGACAAAGCGAAATTTACATTGGTCAAGAAAAAAGGAGGGCGTTTGCAGACTTGAAGATGCCACTTCAAGAAAATCCTGTTTTGATCATATACAATCCCGCGTTTGAGACGGAATTACACACGGATGCCAGCAAGCAAGGGAGCAGTGTTAGTGACTTTCAGTCGACGGCAAGTTCCATGCGGTACATTGTGAGTATGAAGATGAAGCCCGATGAAGAAAATTACAGTAGTTGAGCTTGAAATGCTCGCCGTAGTTGCTGTTCTGAAGAAATTCCGAGCATATTTACTTGGAATTAAATTCAAGATTACACGTTGTTCTGCACTACAGAAGACGCGCTGAAAAAACCGTTCTTACTTCAAGTCACTAAGAGTGTTATGACCATGGGCGAGTTCGACTATAGCATAAAGCATCGAGATTGTTCCCGAATCCCTCACGTGAATTCTGACTTGACACCTTTGCAAGGTGTACACTGCGTTGTTAGATGGACTGGTAGCAAATATTAAGAAACTCAAGGAGACGAAGGACTCAATGCGATTAAAGATCTTTCGGAAGGACCCTACAATGATTTGTGCTTCATGATGGAATACATTCAAAGTTTTGTGACGGACGAGACGGGTGCCCCGTTCAAAGCAATATGACATTATCGGGACCCTATACGAAAAAAGGACACTACCCTTAGGTACGGACCCAAGTAGAATTGAAACAATTTTACTTTTCAGATGCGAAGAATATAGAACGATTCATTTCCAATTGTGCCTTTTGGTTAACAGAAAACGAGGACTATTACATCCACATTTTAAGGAGTGTACCTTTTCATACTTACCATGTTGATCATATTGGTCCTCTGGAGTCAACAAAGGATGCAATCACATTTTCTCCATTATAGTTTTAACAAAATTATAGAGCTATACAAAATTTCTACGATTATACCCTACAAAATCCACATGACCAAGGAAGTAATCAAGTCAGAGGTGCAGAAAATGGTTTTTGGTAATCCTGCTCAGGTTGTGTCCGACAGAGGTTCAGCATTTTCTTCTAACGAGTTTAAAGAATATTGCAATACCGAGTAATGCACAACATTACTCATTTACTAATTTCAATTAAAAATAGACAAATTGAGAGGATTAATCCAACGATTGCATTGATTTTGGCGAAGTAGTCAATTGATGTTCCAACGCAATGGTATTTTGACGTCATGGATACAGCGAACACAGACACAGACCTTTCATATAACAAATATTTATTTACAAAGAAAACACACAAAGTATTTGCATATGGTAATTTCCTTCTACATTCTATGCTTCTAGAATTCCTACTATCTCATTGATTGCGGGATGCCGATCCAACCCTGATTTGATTGTTTCTGATTTGGTGTGTGCTTTCTCGCACTCCTATTCTGAAGCGCGCACATAAGCCAAACTTCACGTGACGGATGTACTACTGGGTGACATTCCAAGTGTTCTGGAGTACAACTGATGGTTTGGCCTCGATCGCAGAGCGATCTTACCCATTAGAATTTCGTGCTCGAATCTATGGTACTATCAATCACTCTTCATTCGGATACGTCTCACGAGCTTGCTCCCTCAGTTGATGTCAGTCTCATCACCCGATGGGAACAAAGTCCTCCAAGGGCTGTCAAGCACGTGATCATCTTGGCCTCCGGGCTCGGCCTCATTTACCGTGATGCATTCGTCGTGTGGCTCCAAGTTTTTGTTGCAAATGCACTAAGATTCTCGTACACTTGTCCTCCAGAACCATTCACTGCTCTGTGCACTCCCTTATATAGTCGAGGCTCATGTAACCGCTGTACATCACGCCGCCGTTCCGCCGCGCTCTATTTGCTATGGCATGAGGGTTGGAGCTCCGTTTCTTGAAGAACCGGAAAGACCCTAAGTCGTGTCTCGTTTACATTCTCTGCTTTAAGGGAGAAACCCTTCTCTCTTTCTATGTGTTCGAGTGAGTTTTCTCTTACTAACCTTACCTAAGCGTCCGCTATAGATGCACGAGGCACGCTGGCTATACGTTACAGTATAAGCATGTCAAAGCTGTGCCGAGCCATGAAATCACTATGTAATCGAAGCATCAAGTGTACAAAATTTGAACTTTTGATGGGAGTGAGAATGCGTCACAATATAGGCTTAAAGATTGTGAATCTCATCAACGAAGAAAAAATAGTTAACGATTTTGAGGCTTAGCGAAATCAGTTTCAGGAGACTGTGGAATTGAAGTTGTTGAAAGTACCAGAAGTGAATCGACAGCATTTTAACAAGCGAAGATTACTGGCACGCTCTTACGAGTTAGGGGATAGTCGCCCTCAAGAGGACATAGTTTGGACCAAGCCTCAAAGTCAATAAGTTTTTTTGTTCCTTATGGAATTCCGACTCAAGCAGAACGATACGAACAGATTTCTTTTAGTCACTCCAAGAAAGCCCATTAATGATATTTTGGTTATCTCAAAATATTCCATTAGACAGGTTTATTGTAAGCTATTAGACTTAGATAATTGGTTAGTTTTTATTCAGCATTTAATTGCCTGTAGTTAAAATCTGATTTTAATAGCAATACTGCCCTACCACACCGAGCTAGTTTCAAGAAAAACATGTTTAAAGCTTTAATGGTGTCCACAATTCTAGATTTGTATTAAATGGTTGCTTAAAGGCACTGAAAGTCTTAAAGATGACGAGTATATAAGAAAAAAGGAATTATATTAATAGCCATTTAAAGAACAAATTTAATATTATTCAAAACTAATGAACACCAGTTAATCTTACTAGTATTAACAATATTAACCTTTTTCATTATGCGTGTTGATATAATTCCATTTTAAATGGGAAGTACAATTCCCACTGACTGCTAAAGGGTTAACGGATAAGTGCACAAGTAACAACCATTATACCCCATATTTTGGATAACAGGACAACTATTAAGTAGAATTAACTATTTCAAAAACTGTCTAAAATTGTTATATGTTTTTTTAATGAATTTAGTTGTTTTCAACAAGTGCTTTTGCAAATAGGGTGGTATTGTACATAAAAATGTCTGAACAAAGAATGTCTTTTTTCATGCTAAAAGATGGCTTATTCAGTAATGTGAATGCAAGAGAAGAGCACTAAACTATAAGTATCTCAAATTTAAAGATTTTTTGGATTAGTGTGATAATGCATCAGGCCATTCAAATATAGTGAAGTTCATTTAATAAAATTTGAAGAATTAAATGATGAATTTCAAAATTGATGTTTTAAGACACATTTTTTCAGCTCTTAAAGTAATTAAAAATAAATACATCACTTAACAATTTTGTTTTAAAGTAAAGGCATACAAAATAATTAAAAAATCTGATATTAATTAAAAAAAATAAAATAAAAGATGTTTTATTTGATTAAAAGAAATCATGTTTTCAAGCACATTTTTGATTATTTATTGTAGAAACCTATCAAGTGCACAACTTTCAACATTAAAAAAAAATGTATGTGATCTGTAAAAAATCATTTATCAACTGTCATTATATTAAAGAATATTTTGAAATCAGAAAAATCTAGCCTGCATTGCTAGGACACTTTCTTTGTTTTTTTTGAAATGAGGAATATGGTGTTTGAAATAAACAATTCAATTCAATGAACTATTCACTTTCTATAAAAAAAATTTCAGATTTCTGAAAAAAATCTCCTGACCTTTCCAGATCAATGAAATTTTCTAACTTTCCAGAAAGTGGCCAACCTGAATGAGGTTTCTGGTGACCAAGGAAACAATTAGACCAATCATGTTGCCTAATGCAGGACCCATATTTGAGAAATGTACTAGCAGGCAAAAGTTTGATTAATTTGATCTTAATTACCACACATATATTGAAAATTTGAAGTCACTTCGACTTGGAACTGAGAATGTTGTGAACCAGACGCTTGTGTGTCTGTAAGTTGTCCAAACGAGTAAATCCCTTCTTGCAAATTGTACATTTATAAGGCTTCTCTCCTGTATGAGAACGAATGTGGGTAACTAGATTGTCCATTCGATTGCATGTGTAGCCACACACGTCACACTTGAATTTTTTGTCACCATGTAAAATCAAATGACTAATTAACCCATTGTTTGTGAAAAAGTTCTTTCCACATACATGGCAAATATAAGGTTTCTCCCCTGAATGACTGTTCATATGATCTCTCAATGCAGCAACTGTTGACTTACCTTTCCCACACACCTCACACACATGCTTTTTTGCAAATTGCTTATTAACGTGAACTGTTCTTACATGCAACTTCAATCTAGCTTGTGAAACATACGTCTTATTACAAACATTACAAACAAAATTTCGTTCACTACCATGAACTTCTTGCAGGTGTCTTTTCAAACTATATTTGTATAAAGTTTTATCACATTTATGACACTTCACAGTTAGTTTTACACCAGTGTGACTTCTCATATGTTTCCTGTAACCTTTCTTCTGTTTCAAATCTAAATTACATATTTCACATTTAAAATATTTACTAGTATCGTGCACCATCATATGGCTTTGGAGGCCGGAATCATTTTTGAAAGTCTTTGAACATATCTCGCAAACAAAAGGCCTTGATGAGGAATGAACATAGCGAACGTGATATTCCAAAGCTGACTTTTTATTCAACACTTTGCCACATATTGGACAAACACATTGTCTGCGAGACCGGTGCTTCTTATGGTAATGTTCAGCCAGTTCAAGATGCAAGGTCATTCTCTGCTCACATTTATGGCATGCAAACGATTGCTCTTCAGCATTATTTGGAGCACTATGAGTCTGCTGATACTGTTCTGAAGAAAAAATCTGCCTGCACTTGAGACATTCATAAAGAAAGTCTGTCTGAACACTATCATTCTTATTACTATAATCATAAGAAATTTTGGAAACTAAAAGACCAGACATAGGATGAATAATAATTTCACCCATGTGTAAATTTTCCTCTGTCCCAGTGGATTTTACTTCATCATGACACTGTTCATAACGATTACCCTTCGAATGAAGAAGAGTTTCTTTATAATTCTTATTTCTGTTTCTGATAATAAAATTATTAGCCGTCACAGACTGTTCCCTTGAATGTAATAGAAGTGACTTAGCTTTATTACCAATTGCAGATTCTATCGTCAACTTTTCTTTCACACACTTTGGAGTATTTATTTGTTTTGACACTTTATGGGCATCTATTCTATTCTTTCTAAAACCATTTTGACACAGGTTACTTTTTGCAATCTGACCAGGTGACTTGGCCACATCTTGTTTAGTAAACTCATCGGAGTGAATTAAGCAAGAGGGAAATTGTCCCTTTTGTTGACGTGAACTATTTCTTCTAACAAGATCATGGCGTTGCAACAAGTGACTTGCTGATGCCTGATCTGGCACCTCTGGATGGGCATGAGGGCAGCCTAAAGAATGATATTCCATTTCCACACCACTAGAAACGTGATTTTCAGAACAAGCACATGTAACTTGAAGAAGAGATGACACTGTTGATAATGATGGAGCTAGGGTTTTTGTCAATATCATATCTCTCTTTTTTGGAACATCAGAAGTGACAACAGAGATCAACTGTCCCTGTTGCTGATTGCTATTTGCTTGTACACGAACAAGGTGTTGCACCTGCGAACTTGCAGCCTGTTGGTGTGTCTCTGGATGGGTAAGATGGCAGCCTGCAGCATGACACTGCATTTCCAATTCACTACAACTGCACTTCTCAGAACAAGCATGGACAGATGACAATATTGATACCAACTGTGATGATATAGTTGCTGAAACTGATGCAGACGAAGTTGTTGCTACTGTTGTTATTGTTGTAGCAGCTGCCGATGGCCCAGGAGTAGTATGGATTTTTCGATTTACACCTGAAAAAGCACAGAATAATAACAAACAACATTTAAATATGCATTGCAAGAAGATTTTAGAACCAAAACACTTTTTAAGTCTGAATATAAAACAATTAGCATCTTGAAATTTCTGTTCGAAATTAGAATTTACCTTTATTTTGCAAATAAAGAAACACTACATAGTATTATTTTGCAAGTAGTATCTAAATACAAAACACAAGTTCATTTAAGGCAGCTACCAGTGGTAACATTTAGCTATAGAAAGAATACCCCACACCACAACTGTACCTGATTCGTTTCCGCAAATAATTATCTAACTCGGCAGTGATCATTTTCATACCAACTCATTCCGAAAATCTTCATTGCTATCGCTAATTCAACTTAATTTTTTTTTAAATATGAAATAAGGTGGAAGTAGTGATTCGTGCCCGAATAAAAATGTACCACTAAGTAGAAAACCAAAACCTGTATTTATCAGCACGAGGTACAAAGACACGATGTTACTCCTAAAATATATGGGAACAAGACTGTTACAGCTAACTGCCATAGCAACGCTAGTAGTTGCATCAAAGGATGTAAGGCATCACCAATAGCATGCTAAAATACCAAGTTGTGTGTCATACAGAATTACTAGTTAAATTCAATACTTTCCCTGGAACCATAATTGATTCACACCGTTGAGAAAACCATAGGTGTCTCAACTCCAGCCCCTTTACACAGTTTTCGTATTTTACTCGGGCAAGTCCTTTAGTCAAAACGTCCGCCATCATCTCTTGAGAGGGGACGTGCTGAACGACGATCTCCTTTCTCTTCTCGACATTACAGATAAACAAGTGCCTTATGAGCTTGGTGCGCGCATGGAACACGGGATTTGATGCCAGCTTCTAGGCGCCGACGTTGAATTGAATTGAATTGAATTAATGCCTTATTTTACGTCGCGAGACTCAGCCATGAGGCCTGCTCTTCCGTCTGACCACGCAAATTTCGCTACGCTCCTTTCACCATTACGAGAGAAAGGAGGCAGAGAGACTTCATTGTCTATGACGACACTCTCCGTGTTGACCCCGAGAATATTCAACAACCTTGTCATGTGGACGGCCTCCTTGGTGGTGTCAGATAACGCCAAATACTGGGCCTGTGTGGTAGACAGCAACGCTCTACTTCCTCGACTCCCAGCTGACTGCTGCGCCTCCAAATAGGAAAGCGTGTCTTGCGTAGGAATACCTGTCAATAGAACAGTTGCACCAATCTGCGACAGTGAACATTGCAGCTACTTCACTTCGAGTATACCAAACTCAGTTCTCTCATCCCCTTGAGATAACGGAGGACCCTTTTAGCCGTTTTCCAAAGACGTCCAGCGAAACCGTTGTGAAACTGTCTTAGATTGCTCACGGCGTAAATTAAATCGGGCATAGCTCCACAAGACAAATAAATCAAGCTGCCAAGAAGCACACAATAGGGGATAGGACAGGTGCAGGCATCTTTTCCGAAATACACCAGCTTGATACCACGGTCCAGTGGGGTAGACACTGGGTTGCAGTCACCGATACATCACGAGGATCTCGTCGATGTACCCTTTCTAATTGTAATTTAGTCCTCTTTCCGGTCAAACTCGAGGTCCAGGCAGTACACTTAAGGTTACCCAAATCCTTGACCTCAAATTTTCGACAAAGATGATCCTTGATCCTATAAATTTCGGCATCGCCCGTTGAGAATACTATTATGTTATCGACATAAACTACGATGTAACTTGTCGCTCCAGGTGTCTGAATAATGTGCACTGCGTCGGATGAGTCTGTTTCAAGCTCTAATAGTTCATCCAGTTGCTCGCTCCTAGCTCTTTCTTCATGTGGCAAGCCATAAAGACCATTTCTCAGCAACATAATCAGGTCGCCTTTGAGTATTAACTTCCGCGTCTATCGAATTCTCCCTCTAGCCGTTGTGTCAGTTTTTTCGTTCTCTGGAGTGCGGTCGAGGATCCCAATTAGATGTTTAGGAACCTACATGAAAACGAGTTTTTCGATGGCCCCGTTCAAGTAAGGGGACGTCCCGTGAAAGTCGCTGTCGGGTCTCAAGCCGAATCCGCGTGCCGCAACGCGGGTCTTATGCTTCTCCACTGTATCGTCAGCTTTGTACCTGTCGGGTCCCGACATTGCCTCCGGCGTAGAAACCCTCCGCAACGTTTGCGACTACCTGTTCCACGCTCACGCGGTCAGCGTGATCGGCCTGGACCTTTCGATCGGATGTTACTTCGGTGCCCGCTTCTTTCCCGCCCTTTCTACTTTTTTTTGACTCTGGCAGCCAAATTCGATACACCTTCGATTTCTCGGCGTACCCCGCGCACATTCCTTCCTTCGCCCTGTCATCCAGTTTCCGCTTGTTAGGCGTCTTCAGAATAAAAGGCCTGCATCCAAAATCTCGAAAATAGCTGACCTTTGGAACTTTCTCGTTCCAAAGCTCGTACGGTGTCTTCTTTTCGATCTTCGTTGCTGGGCATCGATTTCTGATGTGACACGCTGTAGAAACTGCTTTAGTCCAGAACGCCAGTGACAGACAAGATTGAATTAACAAGCAATGAGCCATTTCGATTAAGGTTCTGTTCATTCTCTCCGCCATCCCGTTCTGCTGCTGTTTATGGAGCCTTAAGTCGACGTTTAATACCTTCCAACTTCAGAAAATGACATGCTCGTGTCCGTTATCAGACTAGATCTCTTTGATTTTTACACCATGCTTTTTTCTCGTCAAAACCCTTAAAATTCTTTAATTCTTCGAAACGAGTTTTGGGCTTCAAGAATCGTACTTCTATCTTGAAAAATCATCGATGAATGTTATACCGTACGCCGATCCCCCGTTGGAAGCGACTTATTAGACCCTCCAAGTCTGTATGGGCGCCAATTTAGTAGTCCTTCGAACGGTTTCTTTCGGAAACTATGGCCTCACCATCTTTCCCTTGAGGCAAATGTCGCAGTCTGCCTCTTCAATTCCGGATGGTGATGAAACGCTTCGGGTGCTTCTCTTCGCAGTCTTCGATGCCTGGACGAGAAAGTAGAAGTGTCCCATCCTGCGCCAGGTTCGAAGTGGGTTCTTCTGTACAACTTCCTCCTTTTCTGCAGAAATGCACTTTGTTAACTTCCAGAAGAATCACTTTTGATGTAATAAAGGTCGTGACTAATTTCGCAATCACTTTGGTTCGTCGAATATTTGAGCTTGATACTTATTGAATAGCAACTGGTATCTCTTGTCAGTAATTATCACAACTGGTAAGAGGTTATGTCGCAAATCAGGAACATGCAACATATCAAGCACCTTCACGACGCACGATCACCTTGCATGTTCACGGCCGTGCCTTTTCCTTTGATTTCGGCAGAGGGGTCGTTGGCCAACTTCACCTGGCCATCTTGACCAGGTAATCTTCCGTAAATAGACTCAAACCTCGACACAGGTGTGAAGTGCAACTGCTATCGAGGCCTCAGTCACTCACGATTATGATGCTCACGATTTGACACATGTCGATCTTCACTTCCCCTAACGGAGAGTCACATTTGCTGAACTGTAGTTGCTCTTCCTTTTAAGCGGACATTCCCACGACTTGGGTCCCTGTTCGCAACACTTGAAAATTTTGTCCGGGCAAGAGGCGATCGCTGAGGCAAGCGATCGGGCTGCGGGCAAGAGGCTGGGCAGCCGGAAGATAAATCGCCGCAGACCGCTTGCAAAAATTGTGACAAATCACATTTTTGGTGTAATACCGAAAAGCTAGTCGGCTAATGAGGTTGGAAAACTAGTACGGCAAAGTTAGATCCACCAGTTTTTATTTCAAAGGACACATATCAGACGCTTGTGATCACAAATACTCACACATATTTGTATTAAAAAACTCTTCGAACTTTACAACTCGCTATATTAGCTTTCCAAACAACCTCACACTCACACGTTTTCTCGATGATTAAAATGCAAAAGGCTTTCAATAGGTAGATTACATTTCAATGAAATAATGAACAAATGACAAAAGATAAGCGTTCATGCTATTAATTCTGTGGTGAATGTAAAGGGGGAAGGCATTGCCGTGTATTACGCGCACTATTAGATTGACATTATTACAATACAATAGGCGATTTATAACAATACAGCATATGCTACTCACAACTCCCGCTCACGCTATAAACTTTAACGCCTCTACTTCGCTGTTACTTCGGATACACTCATTGCGTAACCACATGACCCCAAATTGTCAGGATTTTCTAATTGATGCCGCTGGCATCACTAAACACTTCATTATACTGCGATTTACGCAACTCGGCCACTGGCAGGAATAAGCTGATGACGGTTTCATCCAATTGGGAGCTTGAACGTCACCATGGTGACGTTCAAGCTCCCGGATCGGATGAATCTGTCAACAGGTGATATCTGCCTGGGGCAGAATTGCGAAAATCGCGGTTCATGTTAAGGTATAACGTACACACAATATTACATTGCAAATAATTAAAATGAAGTTTTGCAGCACCAACAGAAGATATTAAAATGTATTTGTGAATACTCACTTCTTGAATGGCCTTCTTCCTCTGAAGCACTACTCTCCGAATCTATAGAATAATCACCATCACTACAGGTTTCAGTCTCGCTGCTATCATTACTTTCCACTCTACTACGTTGTATGGAAGCTAAGGCTGCAACGGCACTTTTACGTTTCCGGCGTTCTGCATTGTTTTCTTCTTCACTGACGTTTGAGTTTTGACTTTGAAACGTCAGTGTCCCGTGCTCAGATCTAAGTTCTTCATTCCTGAAAGCATTAACCTACTAAATACAAAGGGAAAAATGCTAGTATTCGTAGATTGACTGAAGTTTGTTTTTAAACTGTTGCAATTGGTGCCCTAACAAACAAGAATATTCAAAAACAAGTAATAAAACAATTTAAATTTTATTTTTTTAAATATTTGTAGCAGAACAATTTAGTACTGCCTTCGACTGCGCATGCGCGAGGAGGAGCGACTCCCACCAAACGCTACTTCCCCTGAAACTATCGCTAACTTCTAGCATGAAATTCGTGTGCAACAAAATTTAATTTGATAGGGTTCATTGTTTATCAATTCGCCGAATAAAGGGTACGACAAGGGCGGACCCTATGCTCATAGCGCATTAGTCGACTCCTTTTAGATGTGCTAAATGAAGAAGAAAGCAGTAAATAATACAAGAGCATGGAGGTCACCGCGTGCGAGAGAACTTCGTCGGTAAACGTGATACAAACAGCATTCTTTTGGTTTGAACACAACTAACAGTGTTACTATCAGTTATATCTCATAATTTAACTTTTACAGTATTGTTGATAATGGGAATTTTCCATTTAGAAACAAAACATCGACATTTCTACAAAAATATCGATCTCTTGAAATCATCGACATCGATATCACATCCCTAGGTCTACCTGCACAGCGTGCCGCGCCACCGGCATTGACTTCGAGGCGCCGTCCGTGCCTCGCCGCTAATGGCTAGGCTTCGCTGCCTGTTCTGGCGACCGTGCTGTCGCGTCATCCGCACGCGCATTCGACGCAACCTGCAGTCGCTACGCGTCGATACGAGAACGCCGCTCACGGTTCAGGCGACCGTGCCGTCACGTCATTTATTTATTTATAAATTCTTTATTTATTTACGTCAAAACAGTAAAGAACTGTGTATGACGCGCTAGGGGGAGAAGTTAAGAGCGAGATGCTGCGTTTCGTTTATAAAATGAAACGAAACGAAACTCTACCAGGGCGCCCCTTCCCTACCGCCGCTGCGGCATCAGGGCACATGCCCGCGCCTGCCTTCCCGACCAGCGCCCGTGCTAGATGCCGGGCGGCGGAGACTTAGGTTCAATCAGTCTTGCTTGTTTGTGGTTGTTTCTGACGGTTTTGAAGTTAGTGTCGGGAAAAATAAATGTTATAAGATCTTCCATTCACAACTCTGAACGGAGCTCGCGAAATGACTGTCGGCGGGAAGATAATTGTACACGCGGTACAAATGAAGTGACTTTATTCCAGAACGGCCAACTCTACATAAAACAAAGTTTACTCTTCAAATGCACATTTTGAAACAAACTTAAAATCGAATAAATAATTTTCGCCAATCATACATAATGCATTCAAAACCGTCAAGACTGAACTGAGCTTGAGTGTTTTCAAGTGGACGCGAAATGTATAAAAATAAGATACACCTAGTTTCAGACAAATACAAAATTAATATTCTCGTTGGACGCCTCGCTCCGCTGTAAGTGCGGAAACAAGGAGGGCCCTGTGTACAGTAAAAAACTGTAACAAGCCAAAGGGTAAAAGAGCTTAAAAGCGAGAATAGAGCACTGCCTGGGAAAGCACGAGACGCCGTATACAGTGCTCGATGGGCAATCTTTTTCTAAACGATTTTGAATACATCAATAATGCTGCAAATTTTGATTACTGAATGTCATCAAATGGAAAATGTACGAGTATAAGAGATGAAGAAAAAAGAAATTAAAGAATCAATGTTTTCTTTAGTGCTTGTTTTTTGGAATATTTATTTTATTATTCAGATTTACAGCCGATTTTTTTTTATTTTCACAATTGTTTCTCAAATTAAAAATTATTAATAATAATAATAATAATAATAATAATAATAATAATAATAAAAAAAGCGATAAATGCATTTCTGAAAGGGTTATATTCGTAAACATACTGAACACATAGTTAATTTATTTCACCGTATTCACTTATTTTTCTCATGATATACACCAGACTTAACTGTGCTCTGCCTTCAATCATTTCTCCATTCATAACCTACACAAGCGTTTTTCAAAACCAGTTTGTGCATCAATATGTGTCCACTAATTGCCATTGCCATCACACAATTCAGGAGAAAATGTGAAATATTCTATTAAAACGCAAACCAAAATTCCTGCTAAGTAAGGCCAGTGGCACCAAAGAATGAAGGAAATACGCCGAAATAAAGCAATGTTGTCAATCATTGATTTCGTATTTAATAGACTATTTAAGTTACGGTTTATCAGCCATCATTGGAAAAAATTTAATCCATCCTTATTCTGAATTTATGCTGGAAGTATTTCTGGAATAAGCATTATATAACGAAGTTATACCAAGCTTTTACTAGTAAGACTGCAAATGTTTGTGAATAAAATGTGTGATATTTGATGTACAGATATAAGATTCTATTGAAAAATTCAGTAAAACCACAATAATTAAGGTATAACCAGAAAAGTAGGAATAACAAGATGTCCCGTCATGTACTGATGAGAGGTAAAGTAGGAACAATTCCTACGACCTCGGGGTGGGCAGCAAATCTTGGCTTCCCCTCCAACATCACGGTGCAAATCACGAACCTAGGGCAGATCTGTATACTCTCAGCGCCCTATTAATATTCTCATTCTGTTCTATACATTTAAATCACTACTGTTCCTCGTTTTGTAATACATTGTCATGAGATTGATGAATTAATTATGTTTGTATCTCTTTTACATAAAATTGTCATTCTCAACCAGGAAGATCTATACTAGAATTATATACACTTATTGCATACATAACACATTCCATCTAAAATAACAGCCTAATGACTATAATTGCCAAAAAAAATTAATTTAACATACAAATTGAAAATATATTTTGTCTCCAAAACTACATAACAAAGTTTCTATAGCAGTTCAGGATTTCTTATTTGAAAACATTAAAGAATCATCCAAAACATGTTAATCGGTGCAATGCATTTGTGCATTTCATTCATGATATGGTAGGTTGTAAAAAAGATGCTATTTGGAAACAAGTGATGAAAATCAGACAAAAATTGCAGACCAATGAAAAAAAAAACTTGACACAACTCACAAATTCAATAAGTTATTTTAATAATTGCCACCCTACCTTATTTTAACATTAGGATGAAAACATTTGGGACCATTAAATGTTTACATGTTTTCTATCTTCTTTTAAAAGTTTTTATTTATTTTTTAAAATTACATTTTGACTGGAAGAAACTAATTTCAAGACAACTTTAACCCTGGCATTACAAAAGGGCTCAGAAGACAATGATAATTTGTGTTTATTTTCTAGATATTTCAACTTTTCTTGGATGGTGAAGATCTTTCATATTCTTTATGAAGTGCCTTTCTTGCAAAATATGATTTATCAAAAGGGCTCGTTATAATTTGTTATTACAGCTTCTGTGGCTGTGCGAACAAAAAAGTAATAAATTTTGACTTGAAATTTAATAATTAAGAATAAAGTTTGAAAAGATTTGTAGTATTTTTTAACGTCTTAGTACAAAGTAATTTAACATACTGTGTTATAAAATTGCACAAGTCTTGACATAAATATATAATAGATTTTGTGATTATATAAAATGCTGATGTGGCAAAATTGATTTTCTCTCATTTGCAGAGCCAGAAATTGAATTAAAAAAAAAAATATCAATGCGTATCTGTATATTATTAATTACATCAATTTATTAATTTATCAACAGCATAAAAAATATCAATGAAATAAAAAATTTCAATGGTGGACTACGGAGTAAATAATCATGTAAACTGCTACTGCTAGGGACCTCTTTACCATTGTACTAACAAAATGGAATTTCATATCTTTGCATTTCGAATATAAAGGGCCTAACCCCACACAGAAAAATTCTATTAGTTACGCCTAAGAATGGTGAGCACTGAAAGGAAGAGAAAGGCATCTGGCCTTTGAAATATGGTGCCAATTCCAACACACACAGGTAAAACAACATATACGAAGCATGTTTGGGACTCCTTACAATTTAAAAGAAATCTGTCACAATGCAACACTCACCTCACAGGAGTAACTTCATAACCGGACTCTTTTTCAAGTACTCTTTTGGGATCTCCATCCTGAACAAAGGTGAAGCATCCAGTTATCAACAATAAAAATAATGCATTTTAAATTTTAAAAAAAGTTATATTACGATATTTTAATGGTGTTAGTAAAAAACCAAAACCACAGCAAAGAAATTGTAATAAATCAATGAGAACAAAAGAATTGCTAATGTTAGAGCACTGAATTGAGAACTCATCCATCTTTTTTAATCATAATCTCTTCAAATGAAAAGCTTTCTGGGTCATCACCACTTCTGGTGTTCTTGTCCATGGTTCATCAAATGCAGCATTTGGACTTATACAAACTTGAGTTATATGATACATTATTTTTGAGAGAGTTCAATTCTCACATCTTTTATGGAGGTTTTGTTAGTGTTATTTGTGGGAAAACTAGCAGGTATCTTATTTCAGCTGAATCAAAAATTATAAAAACTATTTAGAACAATAATGTATGAAGAGAAAAACTTGATTGTGATTGAAATAATTTATTACTTTTAGCAGTTTATTTATTTATTTATTAATGATACACGCTATTGTTCAAATACAAAATAATTAAAAGTAACATAATGTAAACTTTGTGAGTAAAAAGGGCCAATATTCTTTTTTCAAGAAAAAGTAAGCTAATCTATCAATATTCAGAATGTTAAAGTAGTTACACATTACAGGTATTCTTGTTACATCTCCTGATTAGGTTGTTCATTGTGTACGCAGTTAAATAGTTATACATAGCAAAGGGACAGTATCTTCTAGATGATCTACTTGGAATTCGAAACATCAATTGACTCAGCAGTGTAGAACAATCAATTTTGCCATGAATTATTTTGACCAAAAAGATAATATCTTGATATGTTCTTACAGACTTAAGTCGGAATTCCTGTGAAAACTAATACAGTATTGTAATTATGATCTATATATGGATCAAGTAAATTCATACATGGGCCCAAGGATTCTACAAAAATTGTGTTGAACTGTTTCTAAACGATTTATATGAATTTCAAAAAATGGTGACCATGCAGTAGAAGCAAACATTAAATGTGATCTGAATAATGCAATGTATAAAAAGAGTTTTACAGCACAAAAGTTAAAAATTTTTTCTGCAAGTTCTCTTAATTAATCTTTGTATTTGAAGCAATTTACCTACAATAGTTTATGTGATCACAGAATGTCATTTTGTTATTTTTTACCATTATCTCATGGGGATGAAACTTGTTTGAGATTCATATTAGTTAAAGTGTAATTAGCATCAATAATATTAATAGTCCTTGAAAATGTTATGATATTACATTTATTAGATTCAAGTGAAAGCCATTCAGATGGCACAATTGAAAAAGCGTATCCAGACAATCTTATAAGTCTTGAGTTTTCATTCAGAAAAATATCTCTATGATATAATTAAAGAACTAATTGTGGAGAACACATTTCATTTAAAGAAAAATTTTGACTTCAATATTGTGGTTGAACGAAGGTACTGAAAAAATAAAACTTATGTAATTATTGAAAATTCAGAGTTAAAAGGGAATATCAGACCTACCACCTTATAAGCGTATTTTATTCCGTTCTTAACACAAATATAAGGAAGCATTTGTAGCCATTTTGGAATTATTTGGAAAATGTCTTAAGAGTTTCATTTAAAGTACCCCCAAAGTTAAGAGAATGTTTGTCAGCACTTTGAGTCAGGCTGGATCAGACAGGAATATTCATTTTGGAAAAAACCTAGAAATACTTTAGGCACCACTGTTGTTCACAAAGGGAGAGACAGGCAGAAAGACAGGTGGGCAGAAAAACGGGTTGAAGGGACACCAAACCGCGTATTTCGTTTGAAATTTTGAAATCAATTTTCCGTTGCATTACAAATTTTATCCTTACTGTAACGAGTCAAAATTAGGTGTTTTATTTCAGCCATATATGATGTCAAGATAATAGAGTACAGTATAGACATGGTCTTCTGGAATAGAAACATGTGTTGTAAATGTTGAAAGAAAATAAATGTTCTGGAGTGAGGACGAAAGTTTAATAGAACACTTCAGTCAGAGTGCTGTAATTCACTGGAGAAGTCAGTGGAGATTGGAAGGAAGAAATTAAATGTCATATCGGCAATGCAATTTATTGAGAACAGAATTACGAAAAAATTAAATGGACTAGAATATTTGTGAGAGTGAATAGTGAAATGTATATATGGAATTCAAGGAAGAACTTTTGTTATTGGAAAGGTGAAGAAGACTAATATAGGTATTGATATCGAAGATTGTGAAATGAATCAATGTTTTATTGTTATTTTCAGTTTCAAAACAATATTGTGCAAAGTTTTTTAATATAACAAATGAATATTCTCTTCTAATTTGTATTTGAAAGAGTTTTAATTTCAAATTTTTTGTAATTTACCTCATTGAAAACTATGGTGCATGCCACAGAATCATTAGCCCAGAACAAATATTGAATGGAAATTTTTATTTCTTCCCATCCCAAGTAAATTTATTACTGTTATATATTTCTTTTATTAATGGAAAAGTAAAAAAAATCTCAATAAAATGTTTAGGATTTGTCTTTTAATCAATAAAGTTATTAAAAATTATTATTATAGTTATTAAATATTATTATTATTATTAAAAAGAAAATATGAATGTTGAAATACAATGTCATTATCCAAGTTATTGAACAGAATATTAATTAAATGAAACATACTAAGTATATTACTTCGGATATAACAGGGTTGTTTGTTGGCAGCCTGTGGTGCTAATTATAGTGGCCAGTGAAATCTTATGAGCCAAAAGTGAAAGCCCTTGCATTCATGTCGAGCGACAACATTGTGCATCTAGCGCACAGTTCCTGGGCAACACTCACTTAATTTAAAAATAGGTTAAGTTTAGAGTTAAAGAATTTTTTCTTTTAAATTCAGGAATTCAAAATAATCCCAATGTGTTTAACTGCATTATGCATGGCATTGCCTGATATCAAGCATGGTTCCATTCCAAAACTGTTTCAGAACAGCTGGGCAAACAGCTAAGATCAACAGTACAGGCTGTTATGCAGAATGTCTTCTGGAAGTTATTGAGACACATTGATCTCAATCCTCACTAGTATTGTCTTCATTCTCACGAATTGCTGAAGCTACCTGATCATTTCAGGATGTTTGCTGTTGCGGATCGCGTTAACGAGTGATGCACACCATCGAACGGTAGTTTGCGACTTTCGGAGGGGAGACTATAGTTCTATACGTTATTGTCTAAATTGTACCAATTGGGATTGTTATTTAAAAATTGTAATATGAACAATAATGTAGATCAGTTTTTGACTTTTTATATTTCTTAATATATATTCACTTTTGTGACCACTTTGGATACTATATAATTAATCTTTGCACACTGGTATTTTTCCTACATCGTGGAAATCTAGTACAGTGATTCCCATTCATAAAAAGGGGCAACAAATCAGACATTGGAAATTTCTGTCCAATTTCGATCCCTAGTGCAATCCCAAAATTGTTGAAAAGCTGGTAACTAAATTCTTCACCCAAATTTCAGGAACTTGCTTTCTGAAAGTTAGCCACAGGATTTAGGAGCCACATATAAACTATTACAGAGACAGAGTTAATCATACTATTTTGACTGGCACATTTTTGAAGATGCGCATGGATGAACCTCTTCTATCCTGGATACATTCTTACTTGATTGGTAGAACACAGTGTGTCTATAAGTGACTTAGGTTCTGTGCCTTTTCAAGTCGTATTGGGCGTCAATCAGGGGTCCCTCAGGGTTCACATTTGGATTCTATTCTCTTCATTATTTTTTATTGGTTATTTACCATCTGTCTTTTCTTATAGTCGTGCCTTATTATATGCTGATGACACCAAGATATACTCCAGGATTTCAGATTTCAAAATCTGTTAACTTGTAACATTTTAGACTTCTTTGAGCCTAACTCAGTACTCTTTAAAAGTCATTTCAAAAAATCTTTTCTGTATCTGACCAATGAATTTTTTTTTTGTACTCGATGTATCATGACAAATTTTATTTTATCGCTTTTATCGTCTTAATTACTTTGTATCATTTTACTATTATTATTTTTCATGAGGGTTCATTGCGTTGAATGAATGAATGAATGAATAAATAAATAAATATTCAATAAATGGACACACATTAGAAACGGTTTCGCTACTGGATTTGGGAGTACTCTTTGACTCTAAATTAAAATTTAGAGTTAATATTGATCAAACTGAACCAAAGTTACTCATATGTTTGGATTCATTAGAAAAATGACCACAAATTTCATGAATTCAAGATCTTTTAGAACACTACATCTAACATAGGTGAGACCTATTTTATTGTAGTCGTCCTCTGTGTGGTCACCAATATATGAAAATAATTTATAAAATTAGAAAGATTACCACATAATTTTTTTCATTTTGTGGAGAGGAAGTTGTTTGCCTAGAATAAGTCATGATTATAACCAAATTGCAAGTATACTAGATTCTAGCTTGTTGAAATCACAGAGATCTCAAAGATTTAATTTTTTTTATACTATTTAATTGTAACAAGATTGACTGTATTCACCTTCACTCGAAACTACTTCTGAACGTTCTGAGAATGAGTCCATGAAATACAGAATGTGACACTTTTTCCACACCAGTAGCAAAAACCAACTAATTTTGTCATGCCCCTTTACGAGGATGTGTAACCTAGCTAATAATCTAAGCATTGACTTCTACTCAAATGGGAAATATATATATCAAATTAAAAATGCCTTACTAAATGATTACTCCTGAGTGTTAATGCCCACTTGATATTGTATGTGAACAAACATGTAGAATACATTGATTATGTAAAATTGTATACTTTTCGAAAAGTGATTGCGTGTTCAAAAAAATAAATTTGCTCGAGTTGTTTATCCAAACACCTTGAGCTGTTTATCCAAACTGATTTTGATTTTTTTTTTTTTTTTTTACATAGTTTTTCTTTGCTTTTAGGGCATTTTAAAAACATTTTATGAGCATTTCATTGATAATTTTTGGCATCAAAATCCGCCCCAAATTATAACTAAAATCCAGTAAGAAAAATTTCACTGTACATAAGAAATGTACCCTGTAGTAATTACACAGGTTTTTAAAAGGTTCGGTTTATTTTGTACTTAAACACTCTGGTACGTTATTGTTCTTCTAGGTACAACCACTACTTTACCTACACAATATAAATCACTGAAATTAGCAATAGTTCTAATGCTTGGAAACATAAGGAATGTAAGTAAACGGTGAGACACGAGAGTAGATGCGCAGGTAAAAAAATCACTGAGGGGAAGGCAGGGGTGAGGTGAAGGCGATGGCAAAATTGCAATGGTTGGATGAGTGCAGAGGAAGCAGACGGGTGGTGGCTGAAGCAATGATGGAGGCAGGAAGAAAGCAGGAGGGGAAAACAAGGGAAGAGACTAGTAGAGTAGGTATGGATGGACGAGTGCAGGTAGAGAAAGTGAAAGTGAACGCAGAGACAAAGATGGCAACGAGAGCAGGGGGAAAGAGGAGATGAAGGTGAGGACAGGAGTGGAGGAGGTAGAGAGGAAACTTTGTAAAACCTTTTTACCTGTAATGATGATATTAAACCATTACCTTGAAAGCATCACTTACTTGTAGTATAAGAGCTTAGCAGGACTTTAACATGTACCAGACTAACTTCTTAACTGAGGAGCTAACATTCTAAACGTGACACGTCCACTTTACTCTTTTCCAATAATAATAATAATAATAATAATAATAATAATAATAATAATAATAATAATAAT